GGGGCTGGGGGGCCGGGCCGCCCGAGGGGTTCCCGGGGTCGTGGAGGGGGGGGGCGAGGGGCGTCCGACGGGCGCGTGACTCCCTCCCTCCCTCCCTCCCTCCCACAGGCCCGGCCTCTCCGCACCATGCTGGGTTCCGGGTTCAAGGCGGAACGCCTGCGGGTCAATCTCCGCCTCGTCATCAACCGCCTGAAGCTCCTGGAGAAGAAGAAGAGTGAGTCGGCCTCTGGGGGAAGCGGCCTGGCCGGTCGGGGCCTCCCTTCGGCAGCCTGCCCAGGTCGGAGGGAGGAAGGGAGGTCTGGGCCGCTGCTGGCTATTCCAAGATGGGCCGGTGGTCCCCAACCCATTGCTCTTAGCTGCTGCGGCTGCTCTTGGCCACGCCACCCCCACAGCGTCCGTTGCTCGGCAGCAGTGGAGGCTGGCTTGGGCTGTGCTCCGCCCGTAGAGATTGGGAGGGTAATGAAGCACTTTCGGGTTCTTTCCTTGAGCCCCCACCCCCAACCTGCCGGTTTCCTCGGGGGTGGGGCGGGCTGAGCAGGCAGGTGGAGGGCCTCTAGCTGTCTCTCTCTTTGCCTTGCAGCTGAACTGGCCCAGAAGGCGAGGAAGGAGATTGCAGATTACCTGGCTGCTGGCAAGGATGAGCGGGCTCGCATCCGCGTGGAGCACATCATCCGGGAGGATTACCTGGTGGAGGCGATGGAGATCCTGGAGCTGTACTGTGACCTACTTCTGGCCCGCTTTGGTCTCATTCAGTCAATGAAGTAAGGAGTGGGACAGGATGCTGGGTGCTACGGCTGGGGAGCCTGCTCCTTGCCAGAGTGATGTTTTGCCCAGCAAAAGAGCAGAGCTTCCTGGGAGTTAAGCCTTGTGTGCTTCCTGTAGGGAGCTGGACACGGGACTGGCAGAGGCTGTTTCCACCCTCATTTGGGCCGCCCCCCGCCTGCAGTCTGAGGTCGCTGAGCTGAAAATTGTGAGTGATGCCCGCAAGGGACTTCCTGATCCGGCTTGCCGCATGTGGCACTCCCAGTGGCACACCTTCTTTCCCATGCTCGGCACAGCTTGCGGGGCTGCGCTTTTCAGGAGGTGGGGAGGACAAGATTAGTCTCAGGGCTGTCTGGGAGTTGAACTTAGTCCGTCTCTGTCCCAGTTTAGCTCTTCCATGTCTGTTACTTTGCCACTTCTGCTGTGCTAGTGTGTCCCTTCTCTATCAGGTCGCTGACCAATTGTGTGCCAAGTACAGCAAGGAATATGGCAAGTTGTGCCGGAGTAACCAGATTGGCACTGTCAATGACCGGGTGAGTCCGTCCAAGAGGCCTGCTCTTCTAGGCTGTTGTCTAAGGGAGAGAGGGAGCCAGGGCCCTTCCAGAGAAACATGCGTTTCCTTGCTTGGGAGGAGGTCCTGACCTGCCTGAGCCTAAAAGTGATCCTTAGCATTTTCTGTCTCCTAGCTGATGCACAAGCTCAGTGTAGAGGCACCTCCCAAAATCCTGGTGGAGAGGTACCTCATTGAGATTGCCAAGAACTACAATGTGCCCTACGAGCCCGATTCTGTCGTCATGGTGAGTCAGGCGGGGGAAGGGGTCGCTGTGGGAGGTGGTTCTGCCCCCCACATCCCTCACAGGTACCGGTTATTTCTGGCTTGTGAGGTAAGCCTGCTCCCATCTCTTTTCCTCTCCTCTCCCTAGGCTGAGGCTCCTGCTGGTGTGGAAGCGGATCTGATCGATGTGGGATTTGTGGATGACGTGAAGAGAGGCGGGCGAGGCGGGGGAGGAGGTGGCGGTGGCGGCTTCATAGCCCCCTTGACTGGCCCTGATGGGGTTGTCCCGATGCCTATGCCATGTCCCGCTCCCCCTTTCTCTTACCCGCCTCCCAAGGGGCCAGTAAGTCTTTGCCACTCTACAGGGAAGAATGATGGAATCATAAGAGTTGGAAGAGGACCCCCGGGGTCTTCTAGTCCCACCCTCTGTACAATGCGGGAGATTCACAACTACCTCCTCCCCCACACCCGCAGTGACCCCTGCTCCATACCCAGAGGATGGCAAAAAAAAAAAAACCTTCAGGATTCCTGGCTAAACTGGCCTGGAGAAAATTGCTTCCTGACCCCAACGTGGTGGTCGGCATTTCCCTGGGCGTGTAAGAAAGGGCCGTGAGAACTAAGCACTGATGTAATCCTTCCTGCCTTTTCTCTCGGAATCTGCCTAAGTTCACAGCATCCTCATTGCTGTCAGATGGGGCCATCTAGCCTCTGTTTAAAAACTTCCAAAGAAGGAGAGGCCACTGTCTCCCGAGGAAGCCTGTCTCACTTGAGGAACTACTCTGTCAGGAACGTCTTCCTAATGTTTAGCCAAAAACTGTTTTCATTTAATTTCAACCTGCTTGTTTTGGCCTGAGAAGGGAGTTCAGTGGAATTAGACCTGCGGGGAGGGGGTGGCATGCAGGGAAGGGCAACGGATTCCCCACTGGGGTCGCGGGGCTGCCTGCCTGCCTGCGGCACCTTCTTTTCTGTTCGGCCATACAGGAGGACTTTAACGGCCTGCCCGTGGGGACGTACCAGCCTTTTTCCAGCCTTCACCCTCCTCAGGTCCCAGCCACTCCTCCAACCTATGAGTCGGTAAGTGTGCCAGAGGGGTCACTGGGGTTTGCGTGAGGAACGGCGGTTGAGCAGCCCCCAGTGAGAAAAGGAGGCTCTTCTCCGTTATGGACTTGGAAGCTGTTTTTGCTTGTGTTTGCTCTGTTTGGTTTTGGGTAATGAGTTAAGTCTAAGGAAAGAAGGAAGGCTGTGTCGGGTCTCCGGAGCCCAGTCCTCCTCCTCTCCCTAGTTGCATCTCTCCCCGTGACTCTGAGCCAACTTCTGGAGGGCAGGCTGTGTGCCCCTTGGCTGTCTGGTAGCTCATTCCTCCTGTCGCCACCCGAAAGAACCGCTCAACCGCTCTCCCCGGTCCCTCCCGCTTCGAAAACAGGCCCAAGTGAGGGTATTAGGGTAGAATAAGCACATGCCTCCCTTCTTCTGTTCTGTGAGTTCTGTGATTGAATATAGGGAAGGACCCCTTCCCATTCCCCTGGGGGCGCAGTGACTGGGCATACCTGCACTGCTGTGTGACTCTCCCGGGGGAGTTTCCTGTTGGGGTGAAGGGAAGCTCCTGCGCCAACCCAGCTCTTGCCCGTTTCAGATTGATGACGTCGGTCCTCGCAAGGATGTGTTCTCCTCCCCCTCCCCCCGTGTGGCTGGTGAGTCTTCCGGGATGAGCTGGGGAGGGGGTGCCATGAGCCTGTGGTGCTGGGAAAGGGGGCGCAGGGAGTTCTGCAGGGCAGCAGAGGGGCTCTTCTCCTCGGCCCCCGGGCTGCCGAGTTGGGCACGGTGGTTCATTGTTACCAGAGGACCATGCCCCTCCTTGTTGGCCCCATCCAGTTTGAGTCCTTGCTTCGTGGAGGGAATCGCCAGTATAGGACTGGCTTCTGCTGGGAAGACCTCTAGGGAGGAGGGAAAGCCCGAGTCCCTCCTTCCCCGTGCGAGAGGGGTCACGCCGGAGCGGGCTGCCCTTCCTGTGCTGTGGCTCCCTGTGCAGTGGGGGTGGGCTGGGTCGGACTGCTCCCGTTGCTCCCCCGTCTAAGCCCGGTGCTTCCTTTGGCTGCAGAAGCTGTAGCAACTGTTTCCATCCTGGGTGGCCTCCTGCCCCTGCCAAGGAAGCAGTGGCGACGGTGTGCACTTTGTCCCTCGCAGGGCCTGGACTGAAGCCAGACGCAGTGGCAAAGCCGCCCAGCTTGCAGGATAACTTTGTGCTGCCAGAGTTGCCCTCTGTCCCAGACACGCTGCCTGCCGCCTCTGCCGGCACCTCAGCCTCAGAAGACATTGACTTTGATGATCTCTCGCGAAGGTTTGAGGAGCTGAAGAAGAAAACCTAAGAGAGGGGAGCCCGGAAGGGGGACCGGCTGGCTTGCTGTGGCCACACGCACTCTCCTCTCCTCTCTCCTTCTGGCCTTTCTTCCTGCTGTACTCACACCAAATGCCGCTGCTTTTCTGATGCCTGCTGCTCCGGGAGGGAGACTGGACTGTCCTTGTGATGGGAGCATCTGGGACAGGCCCCCACAGAGGCTGTGCTTCCTGAGTGGAGTATTGGAGGGGGGGTGAGATGTGCAGGATGCCCCCCCCGGTTCTGGAGGGGCACCAGCCTCAAAGGTTGTGGGAGAAAAAGCTGACTCCCACCAGGGGCGAGTGTTGGTCCCAGGTGGCCTGCTGCGTTCTCAGGGAGCCCTCTGGGGCCTTTATTCCTTTTCTCTTTGGGGAAGGTGGCACCATGTGTGTGACTGGCACGGCTCTTGTTGGCTCTGGGGCCTCTTTCTCTCCCCTTCCCGGAAGGGCCGGGGGGGGGTGCTCTGTTCTCACACAGACCTGGGCTTGGACCCGGCACTTGCCTTGTGCCCGACTCTCGGTTCTTCTCTCACTCACCCGCCTTACTGGCCAAGCTGCTGCCTCCCCTTCTGCTGCGGGCCAGCCCTGCTGGCGGCAGGAGGCGGCCTCTGCTCCCCCCCCCGTCTGTCTGTCTGTAATTCTTTCCGCGGCTTTTCTTAGAACTGTGTGGTGGGTTTGTACCTTCTCTGTTAACTCAATAAACTTGAGGAGTCACCTCTGGATTGGGGCAGGAGCCGCATACCCCACTCTGGTTTATTTCAGGAGCTGCAGAGGAGACACTCGATCCCACCCCGCATGGAGGCCGGTTCCAAGTAGCCTCTTTCCTGGGCTCTGTGCCTCTTGGCCTACCTCAGCCTGATGGCAGAATCCCCGAGTTAGGGAGGGGGAGAGGGTCACCCCCCCTCAGCTTGCTTCACCTCTGCATTATCTCGAGTGCAACTCGCCCATAAACAAGAAAACACTCAGGTTAGCTTTTTATTTTGGATTCCAGGTGATGTTTTGGCAAGGTTGGTTGCCATGTGGTTTCCTTTCTGCACAAACTGAATGAATGAGACACCTCAGTCAGTTGAAACGTCTCTGAGAGTGCGCCTATCCCCCCCCCCCCCCCGGCAG